CCTAGCGTGGGACCTTTTTTTTACGATAGAACATTTTGGAATGATTATAAAACAAATGTAAAGTTTTTATGATAAAAWATCTTCTTACACACCGATATTCAAACGCAGAATAACACCTTAAAACAGTGCTGTTTTCTACGGCCACCTGATGGAGAGCATTATACCACTACATCAGGTTGAAAGGTTAATTTTTTTTGWTTCTATAAGTATATAAATGAAGCGCAGTTTGTATAAGAAACTAATTTGGTATAATATAAATGTAAATGTGCTAATAATAAAGGTCATTAATCAGTTTTAAATTTTTAATATGTACATATATTATAGGAATGTATAGACGTATAGTATTCTATAATAATTCATATGTGTAATGTGTATATATATATATATATATATATATTTATATTATTAAATCTTAAAATTCGTATTTTTTTTTGAGTAATAATGTCAAACAATCGAATACCGAATACTGCCATCATACTATTACCTACCCAAATGAATTATTGTCTTCGTCTTATACACGCACGACATCGCGAACGTTTGTTCACTAGTTGGCAGWAGTTGCAATAGTGTGGTGTTCATTTTGATATTWGAATAGTATATTAACCTATTATCAAACTTTTAGWGAAGAACATTGTCAGTGCTTAAGGCCATTTTTTGATATTTTCATTTTCAAGCAAGATACGCAGACCACCAACGTCAAATGTTTGACCGGTGTACTAAATATTTTCGAAGGACTTATAAAATAAGTATTCCTATCAAAATTTCATAAATTACAAATTCATTTTACCAGGCCCCTGAATTCCATGTACAACACCCCCCCCTCTTTTGTGGCCCTGGTCTTACGTATTACGGTTAACGAAGCGGATATGTTTAAAATTCTTCCTTGGTAAGGTACAAAATTTGTTCAATTTCATTATTTTGATAGATAGGACGATGTAATCGTACGCTGCATCAGTGGCTATGAATATCATTTTTTAAAATTTTATTTATTTATTGTTAATCGCGCACGCACCAGAATTATTACTCGTATCATGTGTCGAATTCTGCGTTTTTAATGTTAAGTAAACAATTTTTTTTCAACTCACCGTTTTTTAGAGACAACATGCAGTATGTCTCATGACACACTCTTATGTGTACAATATACATAAATATAAATGTGGTATACCCATGCGAATGAGCAAAAGAAAAAACTTATACATTATACGGTTCTCGGTAAATTATTATTAATTTTTTATTTTCTTGTCAACGGCGACGAAAACGGTTTTGCAGTATCTTGCATTATATTATTATACATAACGTACATCTTAATAATATATAGTTAATAATTTCAATGAACCTATGTATATAGTGTCTATGTAAGATATCGCCGTATACGGGTGTCCTTGAAAAATCGATATTCGWTGCTATATTTAACAGAGGGCCATTATAACAACGTTAAACCATTTAATGGATCTGAAAAGTGATATAATATCAATAGGACGCTAATTGCGGTTTAGCCAAAAGGCTTAGAATAATATTATGTTCGTATGCGTTTTATTATGCGTGTACCTTCCAATATTTAATCCAACAACCGTAGATCACGTGGCTAATTAACTATTCTGGAAGATCAAAAGCGGAGTTGTGAGACTACCGTACTATGCGATGACAACAACGCGTTGTTTTCCTCGTTGTTTTGTTTATATCATATATGTATTTATAATATATATAAATGGCTATAACATGTTATATATAATACATATTATGTATTATACATAGCATTATGTTATATCCATCTTAAGTGGACATATAAAAACACATAGAAGTGTGAGTGTATATAGCAGCTAATTATGACTACATATACTATATTATAGAAATGTCACTACTCGCCGCCACGCACCTCATGTTTCACATTATCAATGATTCTGAGTTTGTAATATTCGTATATATTTACGCTTATGAGGAAATATACCTTCCTAATAAAATCAAACGAGGGGATTCGTCGTAAAATACAAAAGTTGATGTAAGCTATATATTTTGATATTATTACGTAGTGTAAAAGGTTATATACTATTCAAATTAAGAATTAACCTATATAATGATATGATGAATGAAAAAAAGAATATAAACATAATGAAACCGATTTTACTTTAGCCCATTATTAATGTAATGTAATGCTTCTTAATAATATAATATATGTATGCATATTTGTAGGGATTATTATTTATTATTATGTATTTATGTGCGTATGTTATACATTTTTTGTTGTTACAGTTGGGTGTGCGGAACTGCGGAGCAGCTATAATATAGGCGTTGGTGGAGGCGGTAACATGTACATAACTGTGTGCAGCAACCARCGTGCGATAAGGAGAGACGCGGACCATAAATCTCCATCAGATCGAGTTACTGCCAAAACAGGTATTCGTGTTGAATAACTATTTTTCCGTCGTCGGACCACGCGAAGCATCCGTCGGTCGAGAGACGACCTCCGAAAGGCGCGACGACGGTCGTTAAATTTYGGGATTTGGGAGTCTCCAACGCGTTTCTTATATTACAACAACTATAAAACAAAACCCATTTATTACCGTTGGAATTTTCTTGTGTTTCTAACTGCAGGYTTTCGAAAATATATTATACCCGTGTAGGACGTAGGCAGCGGGTACACAATGCGTGCGCGGACAGGGTGACGACGACGGCGAGGGCCACGCACAACAAGCGMGTCGGTTGTCCTCACCAGTATAATATAGTGGTAATAATATTATTTTATAGATACATGACAATATTATTATATTTTGTTGAATTCCCAACATTGTACGGTTTTAAGCGTGTTATACCTTAAAGTACCTACGCGTATTACATCGGCGTTCAGTACAGGCGCGTCCCTGAAAGATGAGGGGGAATGGGGGGCGATCGTCCCCCCCATACGTCGGGCGATGTTCTAGTTTTGTTGTACAAAATACCCATAATTCTTAGGTACATTTTTTTTTAAACTTGTCTATATTTTTTTGATATAACAATTTCTTTTTTTTACTAATTTAATGACTACACTAATTTACTGATTATACAAACCGTAGTATAAAACACGATTAACTATCTTTAATCGTGGTATAAAACATATTACTATATATTTATTTTTATATTATGCACTCTTCCAGTTAGTGTAACAACTGCAGAATGCAGCTTCTCAACTCTTTGCAGGTAGCATTTTCACTCGTAGTTATAAAAATGGTATGAATACATTATTTTTATACTTTTATTTAAGCTCTTTATTAAACTATATATACTTTTTCTAAAACACAATTGAATTTTATATTTTAAATAGGTACTTACATAAAAGTATACAAATTATGCATGCTGTAAGCCTGTAAATTGTTCATAACAGCTTATGCTTATTATTGGTTTGCTGTATTGTTTATTAGATTAAAAAATTTGGTTAAGAAACCGAATGACTGAGTARAAACTCACCAGATTTTCGCTAGCTATTAAATATTCATTGAACTTAAAGTATCAATATATAGATAAAATTATTGATCGCTTTGCTGCTTCGATCAAAAAAGTTTTGGAATTTGATATATATCTAATTATAAATTTAAAATTATTATAATTACTAATTTTACCTAATGTAAAATTAATGAATAAAAATTAAAAATTAAACTATTTTACTGTATTTATATGATATAAACTATATAGTACCTATGTTGTTTAAGTCAATAAAATTTTTAAAATTTATTTTATTATTTCACCCTCTCCCCCATAGCCAAGATTTGGAGAYGCTTCTGGTTCAGTATCACTATTCGATGAATATATCAAACCTTTAACACTGCGTGATGGAGAAATAAAAAATTATAATAAAAATTATCCTTCACTCCAGAGTGTAGTTTCAAACCTGCGAGCTCGTTCTCCTCTCGTATATTATAATATTATTATTATAGAAAATATCTGTTAATAACACCACATGCGTACACTCACAAACACACACACACACACACACATACTTTTTTATATTCTAGTACCTACACACGCGCCAGTCCAATGGATATTGTATATGTATGCGTATAAAGTGAGAGTTGACACCTTGTTATTGAGATTCCGACGTGTGTTTGATATTATATGAATATGTGGATGGAAACGACTGAAACGAGTTTATCTCTCTCCTATAGATTTTGACATTTTGTTCGCAAACGGGCCTACTAAGAAACTAGTTCGAACCAACGACTTTTAAAAAACGCTGAAACATTAATAATATAGGTAGAGCGGTAGAGGTACATCCACAGTAAAAGCGTTATTATATTATTGTTGTTATGTTACTATGCTGCACCAGACGAAAATATAATAATATATCCGACCATATGAAACCTTTTGCCGGAATTCGCAGAAAAATAGAAGGACGGACATTCATTATTATTATTATTCCATTGGCATGGACCCCATCCAGTTGCCTATATGGCGCAGGTACAAAAAAAAATAAAATAATGCCATTTTAATACGTCAACAGAGTCGTGTATGTTTATTATATACCCCTGTTTCGTCGTTTTCGTTGTGGTCCTACACACACCCACACGCATTGTACCAACACGTATCATACTCACGTTCGAGTGTCGGGTAGGTTCAAAAGATGATTTTTGAAAAACAGACTTATAGTATAGTCTCGACGTGTCTCAAGTGGTGACCGAGGTAGGGAGRGGGTAACGCAATACGCGTCTATTTTCTCAAGGACGTATATATTTATATTAAAACTATATGCAGAAGCCGTACGACAACAGACGTAGTTATTCCGTCAATGAGTCGTCCCGCGTGTTTGCGCGCGTGTTCATCATAAACAACAACGCGTGTATACATCAAGTTATAGTATCCTCGTAATAAATACACGACGACGTGATAAAAGGTATGCTCATGTGTGTGTACATATTGTACCTATATACAGTGTGATCGATTTTAAGGCGTCGAAATCAGCGGGGATTCACTCAAATCGGCCACAAGTACCAAGTACCAAGCCCCATATCATCAATTATTATTATTCTTACCTTCATGTGGGTCTTTTAGTGACGGAGACGGTCACGTCGTCGACCGCGGTCGTCATCGTCGTCGTCCTGCATCATCGCAGCAATCAGCAGCTATCGGGTCATACGAGACGATGATGTGAAAAAGGGTGGGCAGGAGTGCACCACTGCGGTTGCCGGTAAAACGGTTTTGTTGCGCACTTGAGCGTAATACGAAAAAACGAAATGATAAACAAAAATAAAAAACGAAACACGCGGCACAACAGTTATCATACACGCGCGGGCGTGTATATTTTTATATTAATATAATTCTGTCAGGCGTAAAACGTCGTCACTGATGGGTGGCGGATACAACAGGGATCGAGAGGAAATGGGCGCGAAACAGCAAAATATGGCGATGACGGAACGGAATGACGCGGATGACTGGCACGACGCGCGGGGCTCGAGTTTGTGCGACCACGGCGAGCGGTCGTCTGGCGCGCGCACCGAACTGGACGGACGGGCTCGGCGTTGCCCGACGACGAGGTGATGATGGTGGTGGTTACCGTGGTTGAGGTGGCGGTGGTTGTAGAGTAGGAGGACGACGACGACGGCTACAACTTCTATGACCGGTACCAAACAAAACTGAAACCGAACGACTACAATAATACGCGACGACGACTATGCGTATTATATCTACACGACCGACCGACGGCCCCGTCAGTGGCGGTTATGTCGATACTACATCAGAGGTTCTCAGAATGGATTTGACTGGTGGTCTAGCTCTTCTGCGGTCTACCCCGGTATGTACATTACCTTTATCGTGTATTTATAATCATAAAATATTGTAAAATTTCTAAAATATACAATTATAATWTTACAATTTTAAATTACAATAAATATCTAAATTATAATTTTTAGTTTTAATATAATACAAAATGATTCGCCGAATAACAATGCTCACCTTCTTATATTATTTAAATTCTGTTTTTTTTTAAATTTTTATCATTATTCCTATAATAAAGACTATATAATATTATTTAAGTACTAGGGTGTATGAAATTTAAGGGTTGTTCTGTGCTGATAAAAACTTTTTAAACTGTAAATTATAAGACCTTAAACAGAATGCAGATTATTAATTTTTAAATGTTGATAAATCGAAATTCGAACAAGTATAGTTATATACTGAATAATAAAATTGTATGTACCTACGTTTATGTACCCTTTATCTACTAGGGATGATAATATTATGATTTGAGAACTAGTAATTTATGAATGTAATATTTTTTTAAATTTTCTAAATTTTACATTTATTTTTAATTTGATGTAAAAATAAATCAAGGATTAATATCTTTAATACAAAAAGTTTAATG